TCTCCCGAACACCGCCATATCCCGTTGGTCAGGTAATTTCAGAACACCCTGTATATTTCAGATCATTAGCCAGTATTATCTCAGCTCGCTTGCCTTAGATATTGTTATTCAAAAATCTTTGTTTATATTGACTGTAAGACCGAGATCGCCGCAAGCCGTCCGTTTCCCAAGCGGTAACTCTCGTTCGCTTATAACGAGGAGTGGCGATGCTCGCGGACATCAACGTAACGCGCGATTCTCTTATTCGCCGCGCAGTAGTGGAAGAACGCTCAAACGATAATTTTCATAGAATCCTTCTTCCCCTAACCGCACTAACGTTCGCTTATAACTAGGCAATACCGTATACTTTATGTATTTCTGAAAAATAATAAAAAAATTTGGTTCCGCGGGAAAAGACATTTTATCGGAAGGCTCGAATTTTTTGTAATAAATTTAATGATAGTATCTCTGTATCTCTCTGTGAAGATTTTTTGGTGCCCAGTTTCTTCGCTTTTAGCTTCGTTCATGTGACAACCCCCCATACAAAATAATTTGTTCCATTCCCTTATAAAAAAAAATTTTTAGAAAATGAGCACTAACTCTAACACAATTATATTGATTATGGTGCTCAGTGTAAATCATTTTGGTATGCTGTTATACTTGTGTAAATTCAAAATATATATAACAATTAAATAGATGTTATGTTGCGTTTTAAATATATTAGTTAATGTTTAAAACATAGCACTGAAAAGGTAAATTGTGCAACAGTTTATTTACAGTACCCTCTCGTTGAGTATGCGAGTAGATTCTGAGGAACGTTGATGTATCAAGTGCCCCTTCTTTACACCCAACCATATGTATACAGGGTGTCCCATTTTAACGTTTTTGGAAAAATGTTTGAAACAAAAGTTGTCGGGCTCGAAGGGGGTTATTTAGTGAGATACCTGAATTTTTGGCCTGGGGCCTGTATTGGGCCCTATGAGGCCCAAGTCCATTTTTTAAAATGAGAACCCCTATTTTTTATTGCAGATTCGTGTTGTATGAAAAAAAAAGAAATAAGTTTTCTTCTTGATCATTTTTCGATGAACCCTCTGCAACGGACGTAAAAACGCCCTCGAAGTTGTCCAGAAATACTAAGAGAAAGCATACGCAATTTTAGGTGTAGACTGTATCTGTGCTTGGAAAATAACGATAGTCATTTTGAGCACCTAATCCGTTAATCTTGCCTAGAGTGGCCAAATTTTTGAGTCGATCTTGTCCTAACCGGCCAAAATTGTGCGTGATCTTGCCTTTATTAGCTGGATCGATGATTGGTCTTCCCTTCATTGGCCAGATCAATCATCAAGAGACTCTGTCGAGTCTCGCGCCAAGTACAGGCAACCGGCTGTACAGGGCGCAGCGCGCCGAGACTCTTTACTCGAGTCAACTCCTCATACCTGTGTTTGGAACGAAATATCTTATGAACCGCTATATATGAGGAAAAGTTATTGATACATTCACTATAGGAATTGAAGGTTCTGAAGCGATTGCCACGAAGTTCAATACGACTAGTGTACGAGATCAGGGCGTATTGAAATGGCGAGCGAGATGATTTTATTTCAGTTCCGTCGTCGTCGTCGTCGTCTTCGCACGTCCATCGCATTTTTTACACGACAGATGGCGCTGACTGCTTTGTTTTCTTTACCTATTTGTACTCTGGATGGTGTTGGTAATTTACGAATACACAACACAATCAAATACACTTTGTACGTGAAGCTACCGTTCACACCGAATTTCCAGTTGACATAAGGCTGCTTTCACAATAGTATAGAATTATTAAGGCTTTCAT